CTGTCCACTTTTTCCTCATAGCTGATCCACTAATCCACATTGCATCCTGGTAAAATTTCTCTTCACCTTCTGCAGTGCAATTGCCTCCTTCCTATAAAATGTTGACCAGAACTGCACACAGTACTCCAGTTGTAGGCTAACCAGCATTTCATATAGTTCTAACATAACATTCCAGCTCTTGTATTCTATGCCTTGGCTAATAATGGCAAATATCCCATTTGCTTTCTTAACTGAATCCAGTATTCGTTAATAATGAAGCAGTTTGGAAGCTGATTTACTCAGTATTGTTTGGTATTAATAGCTGTCAAACGGTTTACAGGGCAAGTATTGTTTCCAAACGTTTCTATTTTCTCTGCATTTAGAATTTGAAAACTAGCAGTTGGGTTACTGTGGTAGTTTCACTAATATCTGACATCTTAATTTAAATGTTAGTGTTTTCTGATCATTGTAGTTGTGGGTTTTCCAAAGCAAATCTAGTTTTGGAGACGACCTGCCTTGGTAAATATGAAAGCCCAGAAGCATTTCATTGTGTCATCTAGTTTTAAATCATAATGTTATCATATTTGAAATAAAATGCATCATTAATAGTTACTTCTACTGAAAAAATAGAAATATTGTAGTAGTGAACTCTGTAAACTGTTGAATTATTTGACTAGGCTTATTAAGTTGGAGTGACTTTTTTGAACAAAAGTAGAGGAAAATGTTTGTATTCACATCAGCTAGTCTAGTTAACCTTGGAAAAGGAGCCTAACCTAAGGAGGGGAAAATTCGCTCATCACCAGAAAGCTGACCACAAAACAAAATTTTGGGCTATGAGTGACATGGTTTATTTAGTTTCCTATTCGTGGAGTAAAAGAGATGTGAAGTGAGTGAATTTTAATTGTAACATCTCTATGGGTATTTTCTATCTGTAAAATAAAGCAACTTAATATCTGGCTTCATCTTCCTAAAGTATTTCAGTGCATTTACCCACAGGATTGGAGAAGTGTTCATGGGGTTGTGTGAAAGAAATAGGCCAAGATTTTCCCTTTCCTAGAAGTGTTGGGAAGTGTGGTGGATTAGCAAATAATTTAGTGAAAAGGTGCCAAGGAGATTTACATCCATTCCCATCACCTCTGGTATTAAATTCTGGGTGGGAAGACCCATGGTAGATTTTCCTGACCCACTGCCAATTAATGCACTTCAGTGTCCAATTAATGATAATTTAAGGGTCTCAGCTCGCCTCTGACACTGGTCCGATTTCACTGATTTACCGCAGGCAAGAGAAGTGGCATCCAACCTGACTGCTACAACAGGTCAACCTGCCTACCGAATTGGGTAGAGTATAGTTTTGATTTGCCCCACTCTTGGGCCGTTGAGGGCTTGGATGGAGCCAGGACTTAGATCCTTAAATCTGTACCCTGTTCTTGCATCTGAATCTTATCTCCCAGCTGTCGCTACCTGTACCTCCAAACTGGTGCTGCTCCTCATAGCGACTGTCAGCCTCCATGCAGGGTGGGACATTGCTATCAGAGGCACTGATCTAGCTAACGAGCCCACCATGTAAGTGCCTGATAAGAACTTGATCTAGTGGACTTTCTGGATAGGACAGTATGCCTTGCTGTTAAAGATCCTCCTCTCCATGCTTCGACTAAAATGGGGGAAAATATCAGCCAAAGACTTTAAACCTAATTGGGCCTGTGCCCTTTCCTATGCAACTAATTTGCTTAAACCCAGAGGCTTGTGGGTTGATGAAAATTTGATTTTTGGCGACATATATGACGTGAGGTATTGGGCTCTGATAATGCCTCTACAAGAAAGACATCATTTTCAGGCCAACTGTCTTGCCAGAAGCAACTCTGGATATAAGGTGTGGGGATTGGAGTGGAATGTTGAGGATTAGTGGCACTTGTGTTTCTCCTGATATCTGAAGGAGATAATTTTTAAAAGTTTTTTAATATTTTTATATCAATAATATTTTATTACTTTTTTTCCAATAGCCAGTGGGACCATTTGTGTCTGCTTTGTTGTTGACCAATGTTGAAAAGCGGTTCTTTTACAGCTGTTATGTATCTAATTTATCTATTTGTTGAGCCTAACGTGTGTTTTGGGCACATGTCAAGAATGTCAACAAAAAGGTTTATGAATGGAATCACTGCAGTGTCCCACTGGTTCTCACATACGACCCCACCAATCTCCAAATTCAATGCATCCTCCTTCGCCATTTTCACCATCTGCAGTCAGAACCCACTACAAAAGAGATATTTCCTTCCTCACCTCATCTGCTTTCTGTAGGGACCGCTCAATGCCCGACTCCGTCGTCCATTGCACGCCAACCCTTCCACCACACCCAGCACCTTTTCCCTGCAGCCGCAGGAATTGCTACATCTGCTCCTACACCTCCCCTCTCACCTCCATCCAAGGCCCCAAACAATCGTTCCAAATCCGACAGGGATTCACTTTCACGTCTTCTAACCCGGTCTATTGCATTCATTGCTCCCAATGTCTCCTATACATCGGAGAGACCAAGCTTAGACTTGGTGACCAGTTTGCAGAACACATGGGCTCTGTACGCTCCAGTCAACACCAAGTTCCGGTTGCCAGCCATTTCAACTCCTCCCTCCCACTCCCCTGGTGACAATGTCCATCCTGGGCTGCCTCCACTGTCACAATGAAGCCAGATGTAAACTGAGGAACAACACCTTATATTCCGCCTCAGGAGCTTACAGTGCAATGGCCTCAAAATAGAATTCATCAGCTTCAAAATCTCCCCAGCCCTGATCTCATCCCATGTCCAGCCCTCACTGTCATCCCTGCCTAATAGTTGAATAGGTTGTTGACTCTGTAGTCTAAAGCACATGCATTACAGTTTCGAAGAAGAAAGTGTCACTGCCACCCTTTTGGTTTAATTTGCACTCAAACACACATCACCTTCAGTGCAAACTAAGCCACCGTTGTAGGCAATAAATTATCTGTGGAGTGTAAAATCTAGTCATTGCTTTCCAGGACTGATGTAGGTAATGTTGCTCCTCCTTTTCCAGCCATTAGCAGAACCATCACCATTCTGTAAAATTCTGGTCATTGCTTTCAGGTGTTTAGGGATGAATTGAAGTGGTCTTTTGAAAGGGTAAAAATAATATAATTTTCTATTTTAAATTTTATTACATGAAGTGTAAATATACTAAATCATCTATGTAATGGTGATGAAATTCAGCATTGGACGTAATTGGTCTCATTATATTGAACTTTGTTACTTACCCAGTCAACACAAACAGGATGTGCTAGGTTGTTCTATTACTCTACATTGTACAGATTTAAAACATTGGTCATCAAAAATAGGAGGGTTATTTAATTGATAACACCTGTCTAAATGTTAATGTCATGTGACAGTGCTACGATACTAAAGTCATTCTTGGCATCCACCCTCTCCGAGCATCATGGGCACAATACTCATTCTGTGTACACAGAAAAATTGGGCAGCAAGTAATGAGATGAGAGAATCTTCTTATCAGTCAAATTTATGACTTTGACAGTTGTTTTCAATTTCATTTGTATCAGTCAACAAAAGTGTTTTAAGGGATCTTAAAAGCAGGAACAGTTGGCCCATTATAGGGAAGATAGTTCTGTACCATCTGAGGTTATTTCTTCCTTTATATTTCTGATGTTCAAAGTTTGAAAGTAAGTTAACTCCTGAAACTTAAATGGCTATGGTTTTAAAATCTAGCATTAAGATCTGGGGAATAAGATTAGGCTTATAGCGTGGTTGGAAATAAATTTTTGTTTCTCTTTTTCAACAGGAAATTATTAGTTTCTCTTTGTTACAACGAATAATGCAAATTTGGAGACAAATTGTCTCATTGCCATTTCTTTTGCCTTGCTCTGTGGTCTCTCCTGCCTTCCACCCTGTCAAAGACCTTTGCTTTTGTTCTCCTCTGCTCTCAAACTTCAGTGTTTCTGTACTAACTTAAAACTTGTATTTTTACGTGTCCAGCTCCAGTGAAAGGTCATCAACCTGACATTTTGATTTGCTGTCCACAGATGCTGTCTGACCACCTGTGTGTTACCATCATTTTCTGTTTCTATTTCAGGTTTCTTGCATGTACAATATTTTACTTTTTCAAATCTCGTCATTTTTGTTGCCTTTCTAAATTGCTGTGGTGCTTTGTTTATTCTGATAGAATTCAATAGCATATCATCATATGATCATAGAATCCCTGCAGTGTAGAACAGGCCCTTTGTCCCAACAAGTCCACACCGAACCTCAGAGCATCCCACCCAGACCCATCCCCCTGTAATCCACCTAATCTACACTTCCCTGAACACTATGGGCAATTTAGCACGGCCAATTTACCTAATCTGCACATCTTTGGACTGTGGGAGGAAAGCGGAGGAAACCCACAGACACAGAGAGAATGTGCAAACTCCACACAGTCACCCGAGGGTGGAATTAAACTCGAGTTGCTGGCGCTGTGAGGCAGCAGTGCTAACCACTGAGCCACCGTGCTGCAGATAATGGGCAGAAGCCAATGTAATTATAAAGTTGCAATGACAAAACTCTTAAAACTGCATTTCTGTTTCAAAATTTGGGCATTGGTACTTAAAAGCTCTTGACTACAAAATTTCAGCATCCCTTTTACAATGTAATATGAAGTTTTGTTCAATATACAATTCATTTTTGTTGGCAGGCAGCAAACATTTTGCAATAAATGACCATTATAAGAATGATTAGGCAATTTGATTTAATGTTTCTGATGTGCCATTGTTGTATTTTGAAATTGTCTTGTTCATGTTGAACTAGTAAAAACTTGATGTTAAGTTGTTACTATTTATTTGTTACTGTCTCCTACTTATTAATCTGGTGATACTAAAGGCAAGTCTTGTTTTTTTTTTTGAAAAACCCCCTTTTGAAGATAGTCACCTCCTCGCTGAAGAAACCCGATTAATCTTCTGGCGCTCATTTTCTATTTCGTCCAGAAAATCTGGTAGCTTTTGCTTACTATAAATATGTTTGTCTTTTGCAGCTTCAAGGTTACAATGAAAAGCCAATCAACCTGCAGATGTTCATTGGTACTGCTGATGATCGCTATTTAAGACCACATGCATTCTACCAAGTGCACAGAATCACTGGGAAGACTGTTGCTACAGCTAGTCAAGAGATTATAGTTACCAGTACAAAGGTTCTTGAAATTCCTCTTCTGCCTGAAAACAATATGACTGCCAGGTAATTAACCAAACCTCTAAATGTAGTGGTATTTAACTGTTCAATTTCTCTCCAGTTTAAGTCCTTTTACGCTTGAGAGATATAAACCCACTGGTGTAACCCCCTTAACTGCTCAAGGCATTGGAAGTTTGTTAAATTTATTATTTCTGAAAGTTAACTTTTTTGAGTTCATCTAATATGAAGTTACAGTTCATATAATAAAATTTCTGAAAATATTTTTTGCACAAGGTGGAGAGAAACACATAAGCAGTTAGTTACTGATTCAAAAGAATATTCTAAGGTTAAGTGTCACAGAGCTCTTGTCTTCGAGTATTCTGAAAATAAATTGCAGAACATAAATGGAGAAAAATATTGTTTACAATGCATTGGGTAGGTTTAAAGTTTCATTCATTGCTCCAAGACTCAAAAGATATATTTCTTAATTCCTATCACTCCATGTATTTGAGCTCACAGGGAAGGAAAGATGACGAAATTTCATGCTTCAGTAACTAGATTCCAGTATGAATCAAAGACTATAACTGTCTACTATATAATAAATTTGAAAAAGAAACTTGGATGTCGCTGCATATTTTTTTCCAGTTGAATGCTTGAGAACAGCATCATTATAGGTATTTGACCTCGTGTGTACCTTTTAAGCAAAAGTGGTTGTATTTGTGACTTATAATACTGGTACTTAATTTTTCTTCTATGTTAAGATGGAGAAAGTTCTCAATGTTTATTCACAGTAGATGTTTTAAGGGTATTTCACCCATTTTCTAGGTGAAAAACATGAACTATCTGACAGGAATGGGTAGTTGTTTAATGTATGTTCAAACTATGTGTGAAATATTGAGAAGCTTCTAATAGATGGGGATTGCAGACAAAAATAGAAGTACAGGTGATGAGAACCTTTATAAAACTGATTTCCTTGCATTTGAGCCATAGAAGAGTATTTGATGTGACTTGCTCTGTATTTTTTTTTTTTTTTTGAAGAAGTAAGACTACATTTAAACAATCATTCAAAATATGAGGTGTCTAGTCAGAGTAGATAGGGAGATATTTAGCATTGGGGGAACGTTTGCAAACCAGATGATACTGATGCAAGATGATTGTGTACAGAGCAAGTGATTAGGATTTGCAGTGCACTGTCAGAGTGCAATGGGACAGATTGAAGCACAGCTTTATAAAGGGAGTTATATAAGCTTTGAAGAGAGAAAAAGTTTCAGGATTGAAGAAATGTTGGGTGTCATTCAAGTTGGGGAAGTGAAGGATTGTCTTAGTGATGGTGATGATACCATCAGGGAATGGGTGCTATTCTCAGCAACCACGATCAAGAGCTCAGAGGATTAGAAACATAGAAAATGGGAATGGGAGTAGGCCTTTCAACCATTCGAGTATGTTCCATATTCAATGTGATCACTTCTCATTGAATTCAGTACCCTGTTCTCACTTCCAACCCATACCCTTTGATCCCTTTAGTCCAAAGAACTGTGTCTATTTCCTCCTTGAAAACATTCAATGCTTTGCCTTCAACTGCTTCCTGTGGCAGAGAATGCCACAAGCTCATCACTCTCTGGCTGAAAAAAAAAATCTCCTCGTCTCAGTGCTAATTGACTACACCATATCCTTAAAATGTGAACACTGGTTCTGGAGTACCTAGTCAATGGGAGCATCCTTCCTGCATTTACCCTGTCTAGTCCTGTTAGAATTTTATAGGCTTATGCGAGGTCCTCCTTAATTCTTCTAAACTTGGGTGAATATAGTCCTAACTGGTACAGTCTCTCATCATGTATGAGACCAACCATCTCAGGAGTCAGTTTAGGAAATAATAGCTAGAGCATCTTGAGATAAGGAGACCAAAACTGCAAACACTACTCCATGCATTTGCCCACTCACAACTTGTCCAAATCACATTGAAGCTTCTCTTCATCTTTCTCACAGTTTACCATCTACCCAGCTTTATGTCGTCTGCAAACTTGGAGCTATTACATTTAGTTCCCTCATCTATAATATATGTTTATACATATAAAGGTTGTCTGGTACTAAGGTTAAGGATATCTCCTTGTGGTTGGAAATGAATTTGGGAGGAGGACAATCACAGTATTGTCAGAGCTAATCGCGTAGGTAGAGCTAGGAATGATGTTTTGTTAAGTGTGTTTGGGGACCTGGAGTCCAAATTGAAGCATAGATCTTGTTACCTGAGCCACATGCTTGGGGTCAAGCAGATTAGAGAATTGAACTTGTGACTCAAAGAGCAGTGTGGGAACAACAGATTTTGATTACAGGGGTATTGGCACCAGTACTTAAGAACGAGGGAGATGTCCCCTTTGGATTTGGCTTTATTTAAATCAGACTGTAACCAGAGCCATGGATCGGGCTTTAAACAGAGTAGAGAAGGTTTGGGTATAGGGAGATATAGACACCTGAAGGAAAATTAGAGACAATGGAATATTGTAACAAGGTGCATAAAGATGAGCAGAATTGAATAGGAAAGGACATTTTAAACTACATAGATTAGAAAAATCAGATGGGCAAAAAAAGCCCAGATGAATTCATAGAATGTTTTCTTATACCTGCATGTTCTGGAGCCCACCAGAGGAAAGCAGGCTAGGTTTTTTTCTAACCAATCTGTTAGATGTTATTGCACACCTCTGAAATAGGTAGGAGTTGTACCTGGAAATCCTGGATTAGAGGAAGGGATATTATCACTGTGCTACAAGAATCTCAACAAGAGAGTATGCTTTACTAGGCCTGGTATTGTGTAACAGGTTAGATTGATTGATGACCTTGTAGTGAACATGCTCCTAAATAACCGTGATCATTATATGATTGAATTTTAGAGTGGGTCTAAGCCTAGTATTTCAAATCTGAATAAGGTCAAATATGAGGAAATTAAAACAGAGCTAAAATGAACGGGCAGATTAATTTGAGAAAGAGGACAATGGAAAGGCAAATGTACACATTTAAAAGGATATTTCAGAATATGCTGACTAAATGCATGCCACCAGAAATAAAAAAAAGCAAGGAAAGAGAAGCTTATTAAAGTTAAAGCAGTATCAAAGTTAAAGAAGCAGCCCAAAAATGGGTGTCCGGTCAAAAGATTGGGTTGGATATAAATAATCAGCAAAAACTGACTAAAAGATTAATAAGAAGGGAAAAGTTAGACTGAGAGAAGGCTAGCTAGAAATATAAATTTAAGTGTTTAGTAAGTGTTAACTAAATGAGTATTGCTCCTAAAGAAAGTGAACCTGGGAATTAATAATGAAACATAAGGAGATGGCAAATTAATTGAACAGGTATTTTGCCTGATCTTCACTATAGAGTATAATTCCAGAAATACCTGCAAATCAGCAAATGGAAGGGAGGGATGAACTCAAAAATTACAATCACCAGGAAGATGATTATAAGCAAATTGTTGGAACTGTGAGCAGATATGTCCTCAGATCCTGATCGAATACATCTTGGCTCTTAAAAGAGGTGGCTAGTAAGATCATTGACGCATCAGTTTTAATTTTCCAAAGTGCTGTAAATGCCGAGAAGCTTCCATTAAATTGGTTAATAGTTAATTTATTCAAAAAGTAAATGTGAAAACAGGAAATGATGTCACTTAGCTTAACACAGGTCACGGGGAAAATGTTAGAAGTTATTAAAGACTTTGTATAAGGGCATTTTGAGAAGTTCACAGCATTCAGGCAGAGTTAATATGGCTTCATGAATGGGAAATAATGTTTAATCAGCTTAGTGGAGTTCTTTAAAGAAGGAACATGCGCTGTCAGTAAGGGAAACCAGTGGATCTACTGTACTTAGCTTCCTAGAAGGTATTTGATAAGCTGCCAAATCATAAATAATTCTGGAAAATAAAAGCTCATGTCATGTGATTGGAGTATTGGCATGAATTGAAGATTGACGAGTTAATAGGATCTACAACAGGCATAAATGGATCATTTTCTGGTTGGTAAGGTGTAACGAGTGGTATGCCACAGAGATCAGTGCTAGGGCCTCACAATTTACAATTTATACAAATGATTTGGATTTAAGGATGGAGGGTATGTTTGCTAAATTTGCTAATGACGCAAAGATGTGTAGGAAAGTAAGTTGCAAAGAGGACATAGAGAGTAAAGTGATATTAATGGGTTAAGTGAGTGAGAAAAAATGTTACGTTTGGATTATAGTGTGGGAAAATGTCAAACTGTTCCTATGGCATGAAGAATGAAAACTAAATATTTTATCTAAAACATAAGAGATTGCAAAGGGATCTGTATGTGTCTTGCATGCATTGCAAAAGGCTAGTATTAGGTACAGCAAGTAATCAGGAAATCTAATAAAAGTTATCATTTAATGGTGAGGAGAATTGAATACAAAAGGAAAGAGGTAGCACTTCAATTATATATGCCTTTACTGAGATCACATCTGGAGCTTGTGTATAGTAATGGTCTCTCAGTACATTAGAATCAGTTTAGAGGAGGCTTACTTGATAACCTCTGGAATGACTGGGGTGGCATATGAGGAAAGGTGAGCAGACAAGGCTTACATCTGCTGGAGTTTAGAAATGTAAGAGATGATTTCATTGAAACACATAGGATCCTGAGTGGTTTTGACAAGGATGATGTGGAAAGGATAGTTTTTTTTTGTGGGAGAATCTATAACTAAGGGTCAGTGTTTAAAATTAAATAGTCATCAATATAAGTCAGATAAGAATTCTTCCTTTTGTCACAGAGGATTGAGTCTTTGGAACTCCATTCCTCAAAAGATGGTTGAGACAGCATCTTGAAATATTTTTAAGATAGAAGCAGATAGCCTTTCATGCCCTTGCTCATCATAAATCTATCTGTTGTACTCATATGCTATCTATTCAATCAACCACAACCTTATTGAATGACACAGTTTAATGGTAATGGTGCATCTATGCATAAGATTGTTGTAGAGCATTGTGGCTTAACAAAAAGGCTTTCAATTGAATGTGTGAAGCAACTGCAACAAAATAGATGAAGTTATAGGGATTTGAACTTTATTCTGAACCC